GGAAGGTTTTTAGTTACAGATTCAGTTTCTCAAATAGTTAGGATTCTCTTGATTTTTCCATTTCTTCTTGTATCATTTTATCTTGATACATTATTTTCTTAGAATTTATTTCACTTAAATTTTAACTGCATTGTTAGGAACTTAATTAGTTTTTTTCCAGAAATCTAACCTTTGGCTTGGTTAATTATCTTGAATGCTGATTTCTATTATGATATTTTCCTTGATGCTTGGGTTATTTACAAGTATATTTGTTAATTTCCAAACATAAGTAATTCCGTATCTGTATTACTGATTTTCAGCTTAATTCTACCATCGTTAATTCATGTATCAGTACTTCTCAAACTGTCTTGATAGAGGACTTTTTTTTTTTTCCCCAATCTCTGTTGGGCTGGTAACTTTTGTGAAATATAACAAAAGTGATTTTATTAGAAAATTAGAAAATTGAAGTACAATATGTGAGCTCTAAGCCCCGACTTTTCGTCATTCGAGTCTGCAGACACCTGGTGTTACGCTCGGCTGTAGGATTTCCGGAGAACTTGCTCTCAGTTTCCACACCTAGTTTAGCTCAGTGGGTCTCACTGTGGTTCAGTAACACCCGCACCCCAGCACTGATCCGCGGAACACAACTCAGGTAGCACTGCTTATTGTGTTTGAGTCTTTGAAGTTTGTTGAAACTTGTGTTAGAGCTCGGCACATGGTCGACTTCAGTAAATGTTCTGTGTGCTGTTTAAAAGGAGGTCACTCTGCAGTTGTAGGATGGAGTGTCTTTTGTATGTCATTTAGATCAAATATGTTCAGTATTTCTTTTTATCTAATTCGTCTATGGATTACTGAGAGAGGTGTATTAAATCTTCCATTGATTATGGATTCGTGTGTTCCCCCTTTAGTTCTGTCCTTGTTTTTGTTATATATCTTGAACCTATGTTATCAGTTCAGTTCAGTCGCTCAGTCGTGTCTGACTCTTTGTAACCCCATGAACCTCAGCATGCCAGGCCTCCCTGTCCACCACCAACTCCCAGAATTTACCCAAACTCATGTCCATTGAGTCGGTGATGCCATCTAACCATCTCATCCTCTGCCGTCCCCTTTTCCTCCTGGCCCCAATCCCTCCCAGCATCAGGGTCTTTCCCAATGAGTTAACTCTTCGCATCAGGTGGCCAAAATACTGCAGTTTCAGCTTCAGCATCAGTCCTTCCAATGAACACCCAGGACTGATCTCCTTTAGGATGGACTGGTTGGATCTCCTTGCAGTCCAAGGGACTCTCAAGAGTCTTTTCCAACACCACAGTTCAGAAGCATCAATTCTTCTGCGCTGAGCTTTCTTTATAGTCCAACTCTCACAAGCATACATGACCACTGGAAAAACCGTAGCTTTGACTAGACGGAGCTTTGTTGACAAAGTAATGTCTCTGCTTTTTCATATGCTGTCTAGGTTGATCATAACTTTCCTTCCAAGGAGTAAGCATCTTTTAACTTCATGGCTGCAGTCACCATCTGCAGTGATTTTGGAGCCCAGAAAAATAAAGTCAGCCACTGTTTCCCCATCTATTTGCCATGAAGTGATGGGACTGGATGCCATGATCTTAGTTTTCTGAATGTTGAGCTTGAAGCCAACTTCTCCCCTCTCCTCTTCCACTTTTATCAAGAGGCTCTTTAGTTCTTCACTTTCTGCCATTAGGGTGGTGTCATCTGCATATCATATGTTATCAGATTATTCAAATTTAAGATTGGCCCTTTTAACACTTTGAAATTTCTCCCTTTTATTGCTAGTGTTGGATTTTGCCTTAAAGTGTACTTCATCTGATAATTAGCATACCAGTGCCAACTTTACTTTCATTGGTGTATGCCTTTTTATATTGTTTAAGAAAGATGGTCCCCAAAAAAAAAAAAAGATGGTATCTTGTAACCAACATATAGTTTCCTGGTTAATTTATTCATCAACCATATTGAGATATAATTTGCGTACAATAAAATATGTATTTAAATGCACGGTTTGATGAGATTTGACAAATACATACACCCATTGTAACACTAGCATAATGAAGACATAGAACATTTTAAAGCTCAAAAGGTTCCTTGGTGTCATTTCTCATTGCTAGTCTCTGCTCCTTCTTGAGCAATCACCATTCTACTTTCTCCCACTGGAGATGTGTTTCATGTAAGTGGAATTGTATAGTATGTACTATTTTGTGTCTGATTGCTTTGAAGATAGGAAGCAGTGCAGAATGTTGGACTAATCACAGCACATTTCCTTATCTCCAGGATCTTGACCCTCAGGTCCTGGCTGACTTCGTAGACCTCCAGTGCCTTCATACTGATGTGTTTGAATTTTTTTGAAGTCTTCTAGTTGGTATCAGTGGGAGGGGTGGTCTAAAACCTAATAGTCCATGAGAGCCCAAAGCTGAAGAGCTCCAGTAGTCATATAGGGAAAGTACAAAGGTTCAGAGATAAAGTATGAGGCTGAGTATTCTAATTCAGTGGAATCCAGATGATTCCCCCAAGAAATCTGAACAGGACTGAAAGATTCAAAAGTGGTTTTTTTTTCCATTAAATAAAAGATATGTATCCTATATATTTTCTGTCGGTCGAGATTTAGTGCCAGAAACAAGGTGTTTTAAGCAGAAGAGCATTTAGTGCAGGAAATGAATGGTCTAAATTGTTGGGAGGTCTAAAGGAGTAAGTTTTAGACTTGGCTTACAAGAACGGCTCCGCTGGTAATTACAGAGATGCTCTGTCAGAAGAGCTACTCATTGACTGCCTCAGGGACCCCCACTAGAACTGTGCAAAAAGCTTAGCTGCTGCCATCACAACACAACGGTCTCGCTTGCTAGCAGCAGTAAAAAGAGGCCCAGCAAGAAAGCCTTTCTCTTTTCTGCTTTCCAGATTTCATAAGAGTGCCTCCCACAGATAGATCCTAATTTGAATCAAACACCGTTCAATGGGTATATGTGTGTGTGTGTGTGCGTGCATGTGTGTGTGGTTGCTCAGTCATGTCTGACTCTTTGCGACCCCACGGACTGTGGCCTGCCAGGCTCCTCTGTCCATGGAGTTTTCCAGGCAAGAACACTGGAGTGGGTTGCCATTCCCCTCTCCAGGGGATCTTCCCCACCCAGGGATCAAACCCAGGTCTCCTGCGTTGCAGGTGGACTCTACCACTGAGCCACCAGGGAAGCCCCCAGAGGGAATGTAGGAATTGTAGTTTTTGGCTTAGGAACCTTCCCAAGTTTTAGGAAGACAGAATAAGGGCAGTATGAGAACGGAACCGAAAGTTTCAGCCATGCACATAAGTGAAAAGTCCAGTGTCCCTCTCACTAAACGAGGGTGAAGGGTAATTCAGTGTTACTCAGAATAAACTGTCAGTTGTTTCCTCTAGCATTCCCATCAATAAATATAATGTTTAATGAGACTTTCGATCTTCTGTGCTTTTTTTTTTCCCCCCTTTCTGTTAACTGAGCATATTATGGCCAATGATTGAAATATCCAGAATGCATTTCAATCAATTAAAGGTTATGTTTGAGTTCAATTGATATTTTAATATTTGTGGAGGGTATACAAGATGCCTGGCATTACCTTGGTAACTCTAAAAATGGAAACAGCTTATCACCAAGAGTGACATTACCTAATTCTGAGATCATTTTCAAAGATAATCCTGATACCAGTTTATGTCATAACCAAGTGCATATGGAAACTCGCATCAATTTCATTTCTGATTCTTATTGTGTATTTAAGGTCGCCGCTCTGATACATTCGTTCCTTAAGTGTTTATAGCAGTTCAGATCTTGATATGAAAATGTCAGTGATCTCCTCAAGGGTAGAAAGCTAAATATAGCTCCTTGAGCATTGCCCTTACGTTGCTGATTTGTTTCCTGCTTCCCTTTTCCTTCTAAAATGGATGGTGTGATATCAGTAAAAGGCTTGGATAAAGTCAGGACAGTACACACACCAGTGCTGTCTAGATGTTTTTTTGTGTTGTTTGTTGTGAGCTACTGAGGTCTTAAGATGTTTTCAACAGCTGTGGATCATTTGTACTCAAGGCAGAGAATAAAAAATAAAAACAAGCACAAAGAGACTGGTGAGCTGGGCTGTTAGCTCGAGCATTAAGCATGAACGTGTTCAAGACTAGAAGTTAGAAGGCACATGATGCTTAAATGTTTTTAGTGTGACAGTTTGGGGCCAGTATTTTTATATGTAAGAGAGCTCCTGCTTGTCATTTATAACGATTCTGAATTTGAAATTCACCTAAATTTTCCTCTTGCTCTTTACATTAAAAACAATTCATTGTGAAGAACTCTGAAAACTGACTTCGTTTTATTTAAGGCTCAGTGACTCCGTCTGTGCTCCATAAGTATGCTAATGGGACTGTGTCAGAGAGCAGGGAGCATACCCTTTAACGTTATTTTTACTATCACTGATTTATTATTTATCATAGTATTTACTAATATTTACCAATATTAGTAAAATACTTTTAGAGCTTGGCAGTATATAGTTGCCTTTTTAACATATTTTTGTGAAAATGTAAGGTTTGATAAAACTCTGAAGGCACCCTTGGATTGCTTCAACTCCTTCAGAAAGATAACTTCCTTCATAGAAGAATATTCTTTCCTTAAAAACAAACAAAAAAATACAGTCTTGGAGAAGGACCGTTACTTTATTTACCTAACCATCCACTTCAGAAAATTCTCTGGTCAGATATTCGGCATTTGAAAGGTAATGTCTGACCAGTGAAATGTTTGAGTGTGTTTTAAATTACTCCTGATCTTAAGTTTCTTTATTTTTCTCAGAGATTATCGTTAATGATTGTTAGGTATCTGTAGTGCTTCATTGAATGAGTTTAATTTATCCTGTTGTGATTTCTAGAGAGCTTATAAAATAATTTATCAGGGCATGAATGTGTGGGGAAATATCAGAGAAGTCTAATTGAGTGTTTTTCTTTATTTGAGACTTTAAAAAATGTCAATAGTGAAGTGTCTTTTAATCCATTTTCTTCTCTGTCCTCTCAGGTGGATCTCCTTACTTAGCAATCAAAATTAATGAAGCCAAAGACTTGCTAGAAGCAACCACCAAACACTGATGGATGGATACTGAGGGACCGCTCTGACGGAGAAAAGGGGGACCTTATGAATACAGTCCTGCAGATTAATGTAGACCATGGCCTGCGTGATGTTCATACGTGTGCTGACCACAGTCGTTTCTTCCGTGACCAAGCTATGTAATAATAAAAGATGAGCAGTCTGCCTCTGTATTATCTTTCAAAGGAGCACATGAAAATTCTAGCACTGATCTTTCCCCCTTATTTTCTTCCTCCCTCTGATAGTCATACATTTGAAGTCCCCCCCTCCCCAGCACCTACAACAGTGTAGTTATCAGTAATATGATTGGAATTTGTGAGCAAGAGTGCAGAATTTCTTGCTGCTTATATTTATGCTCACACTGTCCCTTGTTTCTTCAAAGGAATTTAGCACTCTGCCTATGTGAGATGCTTTAAATGTTTTGAGACGAAACCCTGACTGCCACCCCAGGAAAGTGATCTGTAGCTTGATGGAATTTACAAAAGGGTGTTTTGTAAAGCAGTGGTTAGGAAAGAACGCTGCTCTCCCAGAGAACCCACGGCTGACACATGAGAACTTGGAGAGCTGCTAAAATGATTAAAGGTTTACAGAATGAGCCCTGTGAGGAAAGCCTGGAAGTTGCTGGGAGAAGTCTGAGGGATTCGTATTTAATTATATAGTCTTCTGGTACTATGTATTTATTCAATTATTCATTCTACAAATATTTATTTACCACCTGTAGCGTGTGAAGCACTGTAGGGGTCCTCAAGAGTTCCAGGTGTGAACCAGGCACGGATCCTGACCCAAAGGAACTTACATTTAGAAGAAAGATAAACCACAGGAGTACTATTAGCTAGTCACAGATGATATGCCAAAGAAGTTCAAAAAAAAGAATATTTTACACTGGGCATCAGGGGGTGCTTCATAGAATCAGTAGCGTAGAGCTGGGCTTTCAAAACAGTGACATATACCATATGATGGGTGAGTCAGCTCTTCTCCTGAGATGAGTCAGAATTAGCAGAAAAAGGGTATATTAGTTCGATTGGAGTGCAGGGTTTCTCCAAAGCAACGGATGAACACACAATCTGGAAGGGCTGGCCCTGTAATGTACAGTGCATTCAATTTCTTTTTTTTTTTTTTTCTCAACACAGCCCCTGGTCATCATCACTTTACTATTCTAAAAGGGAGAAAAGAGACAGTCAGAATACCAGCATTATTTTCTTGTACTCCTTTACAACGATGAGTTCATCCCAGGTTACTGCATTTCATCTATCCTAAAATGCTTTTGTAATAATCTAGATGCATCTTTCATTTTATGACATCCTGTAGTTAGGGAGTTCTCAGCACTGGTGATATTGACTCATTGAGCTGCTAATTCCTCCTGTGGGGTGCTCTCCTGTGTATGGTAGGATGATTAGCAACATCCTTGCCTGCACCTACAAAAGGCCAGGAGTGCCCTCTCCGTTGTGACAACCGAAAATGTGTCTAGATGTTGCCAAATGTTCCTTGGAGGGCAAAATTGCCCCAGGTAGAGAGCCACTGCTCTAAATGTTAACCGTGTTTTCCTTTGGTACATAAAATAATGGATGACCTGACTTAAAATTGATTCTCAGAGTCACTAAAATACGGTTCTTGCTTTAAAATCCCCATGTGTGTCACAGTTTTTTTGTGCTTTAGTATATTTTCCTGTCCACTGCTACCCCTGTACCTTGAATGCCCTCCTGATACCCAGATCTCCACGTGTTCAAAGCCTGGGATAGTTCAAGGCCAAGCTGAAATGTCTGTCCCTCCTTTTCTGGCGCTTCCAGCAAAAGTAATCTCATGAATTGTCAGCTCTCAGCAAACAAGGACCGTATCTGTCTTGGTCACTGCTACATTGACACTCAATAAATATTTGTTAAATGAACGAATATATTCCCGTAGCACTTTATTCCTCACGTTTGGTACCTTGTGAAACAGCTCTTTGTGTAACGTGACTTATTTCTTCTACAAAAGTACAAGAACCTTTAGAGCAAGAATCTTATCATTTGTCTTTGTAACCTTCTTAAGTGTGGAGCACTTGGGACTTTGTAGACATCATAAAGTTGTAAGTACTAAAAGAAATGTTTTTGAATACTATGCTTCAAAAATATTACCACTACTTTTGAAAGTTATGCTATGCAATATTGGGGTACCTGTTAAGAACATACCTGTTAATTGATACCATTTTCTAGTCCACACTGTGTTCATGAAAATTTAAGTCCCCAGCATTATCTTGAAATTTCCTTCATTCTGTTCTCATTTATCTGCTGAGTGTGTGCCCCAAAATCATACAGATCTGGTTTTAAGTACTATCCTCCTCTCGCGTGATCTGGGGCAGTTAGTCTGCAAGGCTTTAATTGCCTCATCTGTAAAATAGAGAAAATAATAACCCTATCTAAAAAGGTTGTTATATGGAATAAGTTTGTATAAAGCATTTAGTCGTATAGCAAATGCTCAAGAAATGCAATTATTGCTTCTTTTATCCCCTCTGTGAGAATACCTTGAACTAAGATTTGGTGTATGTTCCAGTAATCACTGATTTTACTCTTGAGTTTGCCGTTTAAGTAATGCATGGTAGAGACAGTTCATCTCCATTCATGAAGCATCAACTGGAACCGTTGGCTTGGAGGTTAACTGGGGGTGTCGGCCTGGAGCCTCTGCACCCCTGTACAGAGGTATCATCGCATCACAGCAGCTGGGGTCTAAGAGACAGGAAGTGGAAGGTTCAAACTCAGCCTGAGTCTGAAAACTAGCCGTTTTGATGGAAAACTCATGGAGCCCCCCAAGATTCAAAAGGAGAAGACATATAGAGAATTGTGAAAGAATTAGTGACCATTGAGTGATTATCACTTTAATATGTAGCAGGTCTGGATTTCCAACCCCCCCCCCGCCTTAATCAAATCAGCTAAGGCTTTGCCTTTATTGCCTTTAAAAAATTCTCCAGGAATATAGAATTTAAGTTCAACCAACTGGTGTAGTTTCAGGTGATACAACTCTTATTTTAGGTAGGTATTAATTCAGTAGTAAGTCTCAGAATACTTATAAATGCCAGAATACTTATGAAATTGGCTAAGCAGCTACCCATCCTCAACTCCTTATTATCTGTGGAAAGCTTATTTGAATGGTTACCTATGTTCAGCAAGTATTGCCTTTATATATTTGCTGTTATTGCAGATTCTTCTTAGTTAAGTTCTTTGTTGATGTTGCAGTTTTTGTTTATTCTTACATCTTAGATGCAGTCTGAGGGAGCAGGAAAGACGTTTAGAAAACAAGGCAGTTACTTCCCAGATTCCAGAGAAAGTGTAAGTCAGGCGGATAGTTAACTAAAGGGGGCACAGAATGCCATTTATGGTATGGTTGATGGTGCCAGTCTCCAGCTTGAAGTCAAAAGTAGAAGTTTAATAAGGACAAAAGTGTGTTCATTGTGGGAGACATTGTTTTATTTCATTTTCCAATCATTTCCTTCTTTTGGTTTGAAGTGCATTTTGGTTATTCAGCAAATAGAATATTTACTATATCAGGCAATGAAAATACAAAATTGGCTCATTTTTAAAATGTGTTGGATTCTCAAACAGAAGGAAGAACAGATTCTTAGAGAAGTTTTCCCCCTCCCTCGATGCTTTTGAATTAAGAAATACTAAGACTTGTATGATTGGCTATGTTTGTGATTACCCAGCAGGGTCGTAAGAAATAACATACTTTATCCCAAGTATAGAAATCCTCTGGTTGTCATGGGGGACCTTGAAAGAGCTTGCAATGATGAATCGGCAACACATTTGGTGATTGGCTTAAGGTAGCTTCATGACATTGTGGGGGAAGATGAATCAGCCAGGCTGTTAATGTCAGAAATACAGTTTCTATGACTCCACCCACTTAGGATGAACTCCGGAGGCTGCAGTGAGAAGTGAAGCACCCAAGGAGGCCAGCTCATTTCTCACAGGGGGAACTGCGCCATCCACAAACGCTCTGCACCTCGCCCAGCACCCCCTGAACAAAGGCCTCTGGCAGCCAGGAGGGTTTGCTAGCAGCGGAGTAGACGAGACCCGTCAGCACCAAGCCTCCCTCGTGATGGAAAGGCAGCCCAAAGGGCATGTCCTGTTAGCACCAGGTCAGTATCATCCGCTTGTCAAAAACAGGCCATGAAGTATGAGACAGAATCGTACTTACAGTGGAGTTAGACACATTAGGAGATTAGTTGATAGACTAGCTGGAAAACTTGATTCTCTGGGCTCATTTTTTAGGTGGAATCTTAGTGATCTGGATCACTGCCCACCAGTGAAATTGCTGGACTTGGTAGACAAAGAAAATGTTCCTTCTAATGATTTTTATGAGCTGAGTAGCTATTGTTCCCAGCTGAGTGCTCTTTTCCTTTTTTTATTGTTGCTGAGCAAAGAATTTATAAAAAGCTTTCCCTTTTTTTTTCTTTTTTATTAAAAACCCTGCTCAATTGAAATGGAAGTTCATTAAGTACTGTTCATTTCTCTTCCTGTCATAATAGCCCTACCCCCCTCTGCTGTATTCAGCAGTGCCTGGCAGCACTGGTCAACATTTTAAGTCTGAACAGACTATTATATAGATACAGATATGCAATATCCAACATCAAGAGGAAGTTTAATTTCACATGGGCAGAATAGGATCACTCAGGCTAGATGTTGACCATAAATTTCAAAGCTTCACCTCAACTTAGAGGGTGGGGGATGCCCATGGAAAATTAAATCAACAGTCGGAAACTGTTAGGCCAAGCAGCCTGCCTACATTGTCTCTCTCAGTTTTCACAGCACCTTTTAAGAGATGGGTACTTTTTATTGTCCCCATTTTAGAGATGAAGAAACAAAGGCTCAGAGGCGTTTAAGAGCTTGCCAAGAATCCATAGCTGGTAAGTGGTAAGACTGGGATCCAAATCCCGTTTGGCTTGACTCTGAAGCACATGTGTTGTTCAGCTACTCAGTCGTGTCCTACTCTGCAACCTCATGAACTGCAGCTCACCAGGCTTCCCTGTCCTTTACTATCTCCCTGAGTTTGTTCAAGCTCATATGTATTGAGCAGTGATGCCCTCCAACCATCTCATCCTCTGTCGCCCCCTTCTCCTGCCCTCAGTCTTTCCCAACATCAGGGTCTTTTCTTTTTTCTTTGCATCAGGGGGCCAAAATATTGGAGCTTCAGCTTCAGCATCAGTCCTTCCAGTGAATATTCAGAGTTGATTTCCTTTTGGGTGGACTGGTTTGATCTTGCTGTCCAAGGGTTCATTGCACTAATTGTAGGTATGTAGGAATCATGGTAGAAGGAAGGGCCTTAAGAAGCTCTTGGCTCATTTTTTGATGAGCCAAGTTTGGGAAATAGGTTTATGGATGGATCCAGCATCACTTGGCATGAGCAGGGAGTAGTTAATGGCCTTCATTCTGGCCGGGAAGCTTGTGGTATCCATCCAGCTGCTCACAGCAAAAGTTCAGTTGTAGAGTTTAGCAGTGTATGCTTCTCTAACTTAAAGTGGGGCTGGAGGGAACTTTGTTGAGATTTTATTTGAAACATTCACAGGCCAAAGCTTTCAAGGAGAATGTCTAGAGCAAGGTTCAGAAAACAGCTTATGAAAGTGAAACAGCAGACCTTGGGGAGAGAAGAGAAATGAAGAAATTGCTCAATATAGGACAGGTGAGAATAAGAAGCCTGCATTTATTGAAAGACGTAGAGAGGCAATGAAAAAAGGTTAAAGAGAGGCAGGTGAACTAAAAAGAAATAACTTACAGCTTGAAAGGGAATTTGAGTGCTTGGTAGAACTTTTCAAAATTACTTTCCTGTATTCCCAAGTATGAACTGGGTTATTGGTTCATGCCATGTTTTTATGCCAAATTCCAAAATTACACTTTGCACAAAGAATTGAGTTGACCCATAGAACTTGAGTCATCAATCTGACTGAGTCTTTAAGGTTGTCACTTAACTTTCTATCCTTTCACCTGCTCTAATCAAATGGTGAAAAAGTTTAATTTCTAGAGATTTCTACCACCTCACGACTATAATACAGCAGATTTGTGAGTTCCATGAACATAGGTATTCCTACATTAAAAAAATAAGAGCATTCCAAAGCCAACTCATCGTCCTTATCTACTCTTGGATTATCAGTGCCTTTGTTCTTTCGTTCTATGAGTGTGGATTACCAACAGTTGACTTTAAAACTGTTTACATTTTGGCTTCCATGCCTCTGGAGTAGGATGAAAATATCTAATATTTTTTTTCCTGTGGTGAGCTGTCAGACTCTATTTGCACAGTCTGCATCTCCCATCTGGCCTGGAATGTTGGATGGCAGTGTTCAGAAAGAGCAGTGTGTACATACAGAAATGCAACCTTCTCTCATTGACCCCCTCAGAGCTGATTTATGCTTTGTCCTCAGCTCAGTACTTAGCTATTCAGTTTGCATTCCATTTCGCTGCATTTTGTACTCATATACTGCATTTTTGTTGGCTTTTTTTCCTCTTTGTAAGCAGATTTTTTAAAATCCAATATATGAAAGTAAATTAATAATAAATACTCCCATGTTTGCTTTTTTAAAATTGTAAAGAATAAACTATAAGATACTTTCATCTATTTTGTTTTCTGAATACAATCAATTAAATCTGACTTGCTAAAATTGAATTTATACTCAATTTTTCTGTTATACAACTCTTGAAGAAAAGACACTGACCTATGTGTTATGTAACTTCATCTGCCCCGTGAGCCCTCGTACAGACCCTGCTCTAGTTTTTTTTTCAGCCCTCCCTGCTGCAGGAGATGCTGGGTCCCATCGTCTCTCAGGACACAGTATTGATGGGTTCACTTCTAAAGGCAGCTATCGGAAACCAAAGTCATAGATGTGTGGATTCTCTCAGAAGCCATGAATGAAACTTGGGTTTTCACCTCTCATACCAAAACAGGCAAGGGAAAACACAGAAATCAGCCCAACGGTACTTTAAAACTAATTTTAGTATTTATCTTATAAGGCAAATGGGCTTTCCTCGTGGTTTCTGCTTGCTTGTTTTTTTGTCTGAGGTATCCTCATGTCGGGCACTTCCCAGGGTGCAGCGGTAAAGAATCCACCTGCCAAGGCAGGAGATACAAGAGACGTGGGTTCCATCCCTGAGTCAGGAAGATCCCCTGGAGAAGGGCGTGGCAGCCCACGCCAGTATTCTTGCCTGGAGAATCCCAATGGATAGAGGAGCCTGGTGGGCTACAGTCCATGGGGTCACAGTCAGACGCAACTGAACACACGGCAGACACAGCACATCCTCATGTCAGTCTTTGGCCTGCAGCACTTTGGACTGCATAAAGAACTGTAAACATAGGCATTGGTAATAGAAATGCTGACACGACCCAACTGTCACCCCTGGAATATGTTACTGAATATGTCTGCACACATGCTGGGATCCCGTACTTGATGTAAGTGGAGGATAAGGTCGTTTCCAACTCTAACAGGGAGAGTCCAGACGGATGTGCCCTCTATTTCTCCTCTCCCTCCCTTTCATCATCTGCCTCCCCACCCCAACACACACACACACACACACACCACCAAGGCCAGCTAGACCTCTGGAGTGTGGTGTCATCACTTAACACACACCCCTGGGAGAGTCTTACATTGTCGTGAGACGCGGTCCTGAGATGTGTTTTCAAACCATTGGAGGAAAGCGGATGGACTGCGCTGGGCCAGCATAATGTGAAGAGAGTGCCTGCCGTCAAATGCAACCTTGAATCCTGTCTTATCAGGGGAGGAATATGTTTTCACAGCAGTCTGTGATTTAAGCACAATATGCAGAATCGGTGATCATGTTATATTTGACTGTGCTGATGGGATTTATTTATGGAACATCAGTTTCCTGTACAGACATAATTGAGTACATAGTACCATGATATGAGAACTGTAAGCGTACTGAGGGTGTGTGGGATATTTGACGTTAAGAAATGTTAACAATGAGGAAAATCAGAGAAAACCTGAAAATATGCAAATAATGAAATTATTCATTTGAATTTTTGCTCAAGATATATGTGAAGCAGCTATGTCCTCCATATTCTCTGTGGAAATACGAAACAAATTAGTTCTTAATGTGTCACCATCTTCCTTTTGGATTGATTTTCTTTAACAGAGCAATAATGCCTCAAGGATGGTTCCCAGGGTCTGGCATGTGGTTGGAGAATGTGCTGTTGGTTACAGCTTCTCCTCTTAGGGCTCCCAGTGGTGTAGAGTGTCAGTAGGTCTGATGGCCTCTTGTATTTCTTTTTTTTTTTTTAAGTCTTTATTAAGTTTGTTACAATATTGCTTATGTTTTTGCTTTTTTGGCCCTGAGCCATGTGGGATCTTAGCTTCCCAAGCAGGGATCAAACCTGCACCCAGTGCATTGGAAGGCAAAGTCTTAACCACTGGGCCACCAGGGAAGTCCTCCCTTTTGTATTTCTTAACATCAAGGGAGTAGCGTGTTTTGCTCCCATAGCCTGGCTGACAGGCTTCTTTCCTGGGGAAAGAAGAACAGTTGGGCTAAACTGGCTGGATATATCTGGAGCCATGAATACCTCGTTAGCGGAGGTCAGCAGGTCAGGTGGTAATTGCTCAGAGCCCCATTCAGGGCCAGCGATGGAATTACCATAGTATAAATTGGCTTCAGGGGACAAATCGATCAACCCAAAGAGGTTTAACGATTTTTAGTGTTCAGTTACAATAAGGGTTCGACTTTCTGGATTCAGTGAAGGGATGTGTGGCAGTTGACTCTGCTTAATTTTAGGCTGTGTGTCCCCCATCTGACCCCCAGCAGCACCATTTCTCGTTCCCAAGCCTGCCTCAGGCTGAGGCAGCTCTTGGTCTTTGCCGTCTGGGAGTTCCACATCCACAATGGCAGCGAGTGTCCCTCCCTCCCCTAATGAGCCCATCGGCTTTGTCCTCTCCTACGCGTGGCCTTTTTTCTTTTTCTCTCTTGCACCAGTTACGCCTCAGGACCCTTGCCGCCTCAGGGTGCCCGGGTGGCATTCCTCCTGGTCCGTTCATGAGCCCAGCCTGCCTCGCCTGCTTTCTCCTGGAAGACCTCCTGCCCGCCTGCCCATGGAGGGAGGTGGTGAGACTAATGAGAAAGGGATGAGAACCGAGGAGGAGAAATGCAGTGACTCTTCAGGACTCCTTGGAGAGACGTGTTTGCTCAAGGCATTAGTAATATTTTTGCAGGGAATAGCAGCATTGATTTTTCACCCACGAACCATTCTGCCTTTGCACAGAGTCACCAGGGCGTTGAACCTTTCTCTTTTGTAAATGGGCAAGGTGCCTCACCCATGGCCTAATAGCATGGACTTTGAGGCTGGTATTTTTTAATTTCCATCTCCAGGCATGAATCTTTGCTCCATTTTGCAGGTGGCTGGGAGCTCTTCTATTCACCGAAATCTGTCTTGGGTAATACCGCATTATTCTAAGCTTTCTCTCTGGAGCTCGGTGTATGAGTTTGCTGATGTTAAGCTCAGGCTCTGCTGTCCACAGAATGCTCTGCAAGCGTTCCAGGCTGCAGAGCGACCACGCTGATGAGTTTAAAATTTCCCTTTGCAGCCCAGCCAATCAGGTGTCTAGCCAAACCCTGATGCCAATTAGTGTGTGTCGCAGAGCCAGCTGTGGAGCTGCCAGGTAACAGCTGCAAGCCAGTTGCACTGCTCTAATGGGATCTGCAACACGTTGGGCTCTGTGCGAAGATGTCTTGTTTTCACTTGACGGGGAGTCATCGGTGGTCTGGTTCTCCACCCACTCCGTTAGGCAGACACACCCACCCATGTTACCAATTTGATCCCAGTTCAGAGGACCGTACCTGGTGTTGCTCTTCCTGCTGCTAATATTTATGGTGCTGCCTCCTGGGAAACTGCATTCACCCATCCAGACTGCTTTCAGAGGGGCAAGGACAACAAATCTTTGTTATTATCAGGGCATTTTCTGATAATACTGCATGTTTAACCTAAATTACCCCATCAAGATTTTTTTGAGAATTTTGCACTCTCTTCTTTAAAAATATATTTAAAGGTGGCAATTTTTTCTCAAAGAACACCTGAATTCCTGTTATCTGGGGGTTGGAGACATGGGTTCTGGTCCTATAGCTCTGCAGCTAATGAGCTGTGTGCCTGGGCAAGACAAAGCCTTTTCTGAGGCCCTTTGAATTCGCTGTTGTCTGAGGAGCACAGAATATGTAGAAGCAGCGCAGAGACCTACGTGTAAATCCCTGATCCACATTTTGTTAGCAGAGTGACCTGGTGGAAGTTTTGTAGCCTCTCTTTTGGTTTTCTGACCCATAAAATGGGTATAATATGTACTTCTAAGAGTTATTTGGGGAGTTTAACGATTTCATAGATAGTGACACACCAGCCTAGTGTCTACACGGTAGCTTTTCCCAAAATGTCCATTTTTCTTTGTCCTTTCTCTTTGGCTTTGCTGTTTTTTTTAATTTCAAGACATTACAACAACAATAAATGGATTTCTTTTTTAATTTGGCTGTGTCGGATCTTAATTATGGCACTCAGGATCTTTGTTGCATATGTGGGATCTATTGTTGCGGCACAGAGACTCTAGCTGGTGTTACATGGGCTGCAGTAGTTTCAGTAGGTGAGCTCTCAAGTTGAGGCACATGGGCTCCAGAGCGGGGCTCAATAGTGCGGCAGTAGTGCGGGCTCAGTTCCTCTGCTACGTGCAGGATCTTAGCTCCCATACTAGGGATCCAACCTGCGTCCCCTGCATTGCAAGGCCGATTCATAACCACTGGACCACCAAGGAAGTCCCTAAATGGAATTTTTTTTTTAAAAGAATGATTAACAAATTACCAGTGCAGTTGGCCACTGAAAAAATGAGGGTCTTTGACACCAATTCCCATCCACCACCCCACCTCCAGCGGAAAATCCTTGTACAACTTTATAGTCAGCACTCTGTCAGCGGTTCTGCATTTCTGAATTCAATCAACTGCAGATCACATAGCACTGTGCTTAATATTGAAAAAATTCCATGTACAGTCAATCCATGCAGTTCAAACCCATGTTGTTCAAAGGTCAGCTGTAATTCCAACATCCTGATATCAACTGTTTTCACTTTTTCCTGAGGCTCTTCCAGTACATCTTAATATAGAGCCTTAGGAATTTGCCTGAGGACAAATATGCAGAAATAGTACGGGAGATGCCTATGGAGAAGTATATAGATCTCTCAATTGGAAATCAGAAAAATTATACATTTTATAATGAGATTATAATGAAAATTGCTTTACTAAAATAAATGATCATCAATACTGAGAAATAGCTGAAAAATCAATCCCAAGATAATTTGGAGAAGAAAAGAAACAGTCCTTTGACCACGTTTATGGCAAAGCAAAGTACAATGCTGATGTGGGAGATAGATGGGCACCTGGACTGTGCAGCTGCTGTTTGTCAAGAGGAGAAAAGCTGAAGATCTGGTTTATAGCCAGACAAGAACAATGCCTGTTTCCTTTCCCCCATTGATATGGAGGGAGTAACTAACATG